AAACTTCCTTAGCTTGACGAAGGGTTTTTGAACCCAAAAGCTCGCTTAATAACTATTCTCCAACCATTTGGGTTGGTCTAATAAAAGATATCAGATTCACCCAAGGAACCTTATCTGAGGGTTAATGCATTCCCTGTGCTTCTTTGCTTCTTCTAAAAATACCCTTTTCTCTTTTCCTCATGCCTACTTATCACTCTTCAAACTCGTGTTGTCTCCCTATTTCTGATTTATCATCCTTTTTTCTCTTTTATTTCCTTTGTTGGGAGAATGGTGGCTGAGGGATCTAGTTAGCCGAGTTAGTCTCCAGTCAGGCAGAAGACCAGGTAGATACTAGGCCTGTGCGAAGCAGAAAGTATTCGCTTCGGATTTGGATTCAATGGAACAGTGATTCAATTTGGTGATTCAAATCACTATCTCAATTCAATTTGGTTGAATCCGAATCTGAAGATATTCAGTGCCGAATCTTATTTGACCGTAGACTGTACAGTCAGGCAGTGCCAGTGGAAGCAGCTGGATGAGCCCCAGCTTGAGCTGGCAGCCCTGGGAGAAGCCGCGGCTTGTCTGGCTGTTCCCCTGCCTGCCCTCCTGCTGGGGCGAGGCAGGCAGTGCTGACAGTCCCGGGAGAAGCTGTGGGGGCTGACGGGGAATGGTTGGGGAGCAAAGGGGAATGATCGAGGCCTGGGGGAATGAACAGGGGCTTCCCACCAGTTCTCAGTTTGATCCCCCAGCTCCTGGTTTGATCCCCCAGCTCCCCAATCATTTTCTCCAGCCCCCGCAGCTTCTCCTGGGCCTGCCAGCACTTCCTGCCTCACCCTGGTGGGGGCGCAGCTGGAGAAGAAGCCAGATGAGCTGCATCTTCTCCTGAGGCTGCTGGCTCAAGCCAGGGCTCGTCTGGCTGCTCCCCCAGCTGCTCCTTCTGGTACTACCTAGTGCCTGCTTGTACGGTCTATGGCCAAATCTTCGAATCTCTCTGAATCAATTTGGAGGTTTCCAATTTGATTTGGAGAGATTAATGGGTCTCCTGATTCAATTTGGATTCAGAGATTTGGCTGCCAAATAGGGCTGAATCTCCTCTGAACCAAATTGGCTACCGAAGCTTTGCACAGCCCTAGTAGATACGCATTTTATGGACTAAATAATAGAGCACGAGCTTTCATGAACGCAATACTCAATCAATAGGAGAGGAAAAGAGGGAAATGGTGGGAGAGTTTAGTGGTTGTAGGGATAGAAAGAAGGTGAGAAGGCCTTACCTACAGTTTCCTTCATTTGGAAAAAAAAAATATTTATATTTTGGTTTAAGAGATAAAAATGGGTTTTGAGAGGAAAGGAGAAGGACATTTCTTGTCTTTTCTTAATTTTTATTTTTAAAGAAAAAATGTAGGTGTTCCCCAAATAACCAGAAATGGGGTTTTACAAGTTATTGAGTGGTCAAGACACATGGGTCCATATCACAATTCTTTCACTCTGTGGGCTCATGTACACAAGATGCTGACTACACAGTAGCTCATTACTGCTGCACAGTAGCACTGTGTGGCAGGAAGCGAGATGTTACTACTGTGCAATCTGCTGAACAGTCAGCGTTACCAGAAGCTGTGTTCGGCTTGTTTATACAAATGCTAAATGACTATGCAGTAATAACTGTGCAGTTGTTTGTCTTACTTTTCCTATCTGCAAATTCAAGATGATAATATTTATGGGCCTACCTCTCAGAAATGTGTGTTGCATAACTCCGGGCCAGGTTATGATACTCTGACTTGCATTTGAATTCTCAAGTAGTTTATTTCAGTGGGAGTTTTGATTGAATGAAGAATGTGTGATGGTATATAACTTGGGCTAGGTTAGAACCAGAATTGTTACGCTTTTCATAATGCTAAGGATAATACTGTACACAATATCAGCTAATAGTGTCATGCTTTTCTCCACTGTTACCTAACACCAGCTCTTCTGAGTAAACATTAAGCTTTTCTTATTTTTCAGCTTGTTTCACTATTATGTATAGGGTGGTTTTTATTTCCCAGGGCATTGAAGAAGCAAAGGAAATAGAAGTAGGAAAAACAGAGGGTTGGATTAGTTTTGCCTAAGGGTTTTGTCTCAAGTTATGGTTCTAAGAAGCTGAGGTAATACATTGCCTGCTTGGCTAAATAGGTCTGGTCTTCTAGAACGTGACATTCTACACTCCATGGTGATTGATAAACCCAGCAATATTATGATGTTACAGAAGGAAAGACCATCAATCATAGATGGTTAAAGAAACAACACTTGTTTAAATTTACTTCCTCAATGCCAAACTGTAAAGCAGCTTCTATTATTTTCTGTTTCGGGGCATATGGATTTCTGCTTCTTTTTTTTTTTTTTTTTTTTTTTTTTTTTTTTTTTTTTATATTCCTATAATTTTTTTTTTAAAGTACCTGGAATTTCAGCAAAAACCCAGACTATTCAGACTTAGAGGTCTTGAGTAATAACTAGCAAATGAATAAATGTTATTTGGTCATTTTAAATATTGTACCTGTTCAGTTGAGGAATAAAAAACATTTACACAGCAAAATTGTTATGATAAAGTTGTTATAAATTAACGATGAAAAATACCATAAACTTGTATGGGATATGATATGAGTGAATTAATTTTAAAGACTTGCATACTTCATGTTAATTCAAATTGGTGAGACATGTATCTGACTAGCCTAGCAAAATTTATAGGTAATATATAAACCTAAAGCATAAGCAATTGAAATAGTCATGCTTCAGTGAGAGTTACCTCTCTTAAACAAATGAATGTCTAATCCATAACAGTGTTTTTCATTCAATATCGTTGCTTTATTTCTAATGAGTAAAAAAAATAACAACAGCTAAAACCACTGAAGTTTTGAGTCTTATAAACTTGAAATCAAAAAAATTTACCAACAAGCTAACATTACATCTCAGTAACTAAAACTGGTTCCAGTTTGGAGGCAGTCAGTGCTTCCTCAAGTTAATGTCAGTCATTTTATGATTTTGAAGTGAAAATATTAAATTATAGCATTTTGTGTTTCCAAACAAAAACAGACTTTCCCAGTTTCACCTCTGTCCTCTTTGAGGTTTTTGCATTTATTCAAACCCAAGTCTAAAATTAAAACCTGTAGTGTCACATAGTAAAAACTGTGATACGACATTCCTGCACAGTAGTATTAGGCTATTGTGCAGTAGTGTCCCAAAAAGACATTTGTTGGCATGTTTATAAAGTATTAAATGACTGTATAGTAATGTCTACGCAGTCAGCGTCATGTGTAGACACAGCCACAAATGGTGAAGAGAATTGTATTTGTGCAGGCATCTTTGAGCCAAAACCATAGTCTCACAGTCCGCATCCAAATGAATGAGCACTTGCCTGTGGCATCTCATAGCAGTCTGAGATGTTGCAGGAGGTACACCACAAATGAAAAATGTTTGCAGTGTTGACTGTAAGTTTGATACCGGGAAATCCCGGTATCAAAAGAAAATGCACCAGAAAAAAGCGGCACAGGGCATGTTCTTGGAGTGTGCCCCAAAACAACTGGAGGCTGGGTCCTCCAATGAGATGCTTTAACACCTGGCCGGTGCATCTCTATGCCTGCTGCATGTCCCAGCTGGTCCAGCACACTGCCTCAGCATGCTGGAGGAAATAAAAGCCGGTCATGCTGCGGCTGCTGGCCAGGCTCCATGCAGCAGAATCATTGCCTTTGTAGCTCCAGGAGGGCCCCAGGACCCCAGGTAAGGCTGCTGGGGCCAGTCCAGTGCTCCAGCCTCCCCTACCTCCCACAGGGTAACTTGCCATGTGCCAGAGGGCATGTGGCATGGGCATTCCTCAGGGACTACTAGCAGCAGTGCAAGGTGCACCACTGCTAGTTGTCCCTAGGCAACCAAAAGTCCACACCATGTGTAGATATGGCCACAGACTCTAATTTAGTCTACACTGTTCATCAATTTAATACAGCTATTGGTTCAAGTATTCATGGTAACAATTTCATAATTTTTATTCTCTTTCCATTTGTGAACTGATTGGCAACTACATGAAGAAAGAACGTATGCAAATTGTCTCACATATGGAGATATGCTATGAAACTGTTTTATGAATGGGAATAAGATTTTAGCCTTACTGGCCACATTCAGACGAGTGAGCACATGTCTGTTGCAGCACCTGAAAAGCATTTTCAGGCTGGTTCTTGCTGTCACCTGGGGTCCTGGCACTGCATCCAGATGCTGTGCACCCTTAGGCCAGGCCAGCTCCTGCTTCCATGAAGCCAGCCCAGCCCGATGGTGTGCGGGGCACATGGAGGCAGTACCTGGCCTGGCCCAAGGGCATGTGGCTTCTGCATGCGGTGTCGGGACCCTAGGTGACAGCTAAAGCTGGCCTGGTGCTCATGGTTACTTGCTCTCAGGAGTTGAGCTGAGTCCAACCAGTTGGTATCTGGGGACACTACCCCTTGTGCCAGCTGAACTGCTGAAGCAGCCCAAACCTAGAGTGGCTCCTGCACCCTCTACCCACTACAGCAGTTTGGCAGTGGGGGCTGCCACCTGTGACGGCATCCTCCCCCTTGGACCTGCGGCCCCATGGTGCCTGCATGTGTGGATGTACCCACTGCTTCTGTAGAACATAAAAAAATAGATGTACTTGAAAGTTTGATTAAAACGAGAACTATGTTATATACTACGTTCCATTTCCCATTGATAAATACTGGAAGGGTTTCGTATTTTATTGTTATCTCTGTAAACATTTATGTGAAGCTGTAATTAAAAAAGTCAACCCAACCTTACATATTCAGCCATATTCAGAAAGACGCAACTTCACTTAACCTAGAACTTCAACTTTTCTTTTAGTTCTTTATTTTCTAAGTATGTTAACAGACTGTGACACCTCAACTTGCAAAAAAGACTGGTAATCTAAAAATATGCATTTAAATAGAATTTTCTATTTATATGAGACGGTAAAATAAAATGTTCTGGAGGTATTGTCTATATAAGAAATCTTATATATTTTTTTTTAGATTATAGATGAAGAAGAAACACAGTTCATGAGCAATTGTCCTGTCGCTGTTACTGAGAGTACTCCAAGAAGGAGGACACGTATTCAAGTTTTCTGGACAGCACCTCCTGCTGGTACCGGATGTGTAATTTTGAAGTAAGTATTTTTATGTGGATTTAAATTTACAAATGAAATTTTGTATTGATTTGATGCACATGAGGCAGTAGTAGTTTTTACATTTGGAACCAGGCTTTAGTAAGACTTTACCTCTTCAAAACTGACTCCCAAGTCAAACTGTGGTCCCCAGTCACACTGACATAGAATATCAACTATTTGACTTCTGAACTAGTGGTGAGAAAATTGTGCCCGTAATGCTGGCAGCCAAGTTGATGCTGAGGTAAAAATCAGGGTTTTAATTTTTTGTCAAGGTCTTCAAGTCCATCTGTGATGCCAGAGTTTTTTTTTTTTCAATTTGATCAACATAAGCAGGACAGAAGCTGTACTGAGCAGCTAAATGTGTTTGCGATTGAACTTTTATTTCCTGATTTAGACTTACAACAACACTTTAAAGTATAGTGTTGGTAGGGCTGGTTTACAGCCAAGCTGATTTAAGAACAGTTTGAACAAACAGGTTTTTAAGAGGCCCATCAGCATCTTGGGTAGATTCAGTCTATGTCAGTGAGTTGTTTAGCAGGGAAGTGATTCCCTTTGCCACAAGCATCACTTTCTTCTCATGTGAACTGTATTTGAATAAGTTCTCCTTTCTCTGGGCATTAATTTCTTGAAGGCATTGAGGTAAGTAGTGGATAGTGTTTCGTTCTAATGACATAAGATATGTGGCTATATGTTCTCCACATACGGCAGGCTACAAAACATTTAATTGATGGGCAGATGATGTATGGTGGCTTCTTATTAAATGAATAATATTTTTTTCTCTTGGCTTGTTCTTTCTGTCCTTTGTTATATCCCCTGATATGTGCTATCCTCAGATTGCAAGCTAGGATTCTCATTTCATTACTTGAGCACAGTGGCCCTTTATGTACCTTAAGGGCCTCTAATTACACTACAATACTAATAATTATTAGTATTAGTTCATAGAAATCATCGAGAAGTAGGGCTGGAAGGAACCTCTATAGATCATCTAGTCACTAGTCCAACGCCCTGCCTGAGGCAGGGTCATCCCTATTGAAACCATGCCATACAAATCAAACTGAGTTGGAATTTCACCAGAACATCATAATTATTTATCACCCTCTCCTTGCAATAAGTATTGTGGGCTCTTTCATGGTTACAAAGTGGTCCGAGTAAATTTGTTTTTACACCTGCTATAAAGATAGCCCATTGCCACTACTGGTAGGTTGCCTCTCATAGAATTGTAGGATATTAATTGGGAGAGAGAGAACCACCTACTAAATCAGCAGCCCTAGGTTCTGTACTATGTCATCTAAATGCAGAACCATTTCAAAGCTGCTAAGCTTTCAGTATTTCACAAAATGTAGGTTCTGATGGAAAAACTTGTCTGATGGGAATGTATTTGAAGTTTGTTTTAATACTTTAGACGTCTATGTTTTGGTGAATGTGAATAAAGCACTTGGTTGTTTGCTGGTTTGGGGTAGAAGTTCAGGAGAACATACATACTTGCCCCAACTAATTGTTCATTGATTAAAAAGTGAAACTGACTGCTATAATTCTGAGAATAATTCAAAGGCAGAATGAAACATCTCAGAATGAAGCAGCTACTTTTTATTGTGAATTGTTGGAGCCAGGGATTAAAATTATAATGGCATTCATTTCCACCACAATACAAGGCTGGTTAGTACCACACATAGCAATTACTAGTGTGCTTTTGGCATTACCTTAACACTATTAACATTTCTCCATTTGCATGTAAAGCATTGAGCACATTTAAATTATAGGGTTTACAGTTAGTCCTCTTCATGGTCACATCCCATATACTCATAGATATGTTAGACACCATTTTCTCAACACTTCTTCCATCCATGAGAGCTTTAATGATATGAAAAAATGACAGTATGAAAACATCTATTATTGCAAAGACTTGTGTCCAAAACCATCCCAGGGACATTTCCATGCTTTGAATTCTGAGGAAGGCAACTGTTAACAGTGTGAACTTATTTCCCTTTTTGTGCACGTGGTGGAGTGCAGTTAACTCAACTCAAATGAGGAAATGTAGATCAGTCTTTAGGATTTTACTCTGATAATTTCCTCCAAATGTCAGCATTCTTAAGCTTATTTTGAATTTTCCTCTTTAACAATTCTATTGAGAAGAAAAACAGGCCTCAAGAAGATAAGGTAGTCATCAGTTAAGTGTAGCTTATCTCCAAAGAAATAAGTTGCTGGTCTCATTATTAAAGCCTAAATTCAGAGGCTTCCAGGAAATTAGCTCGGGATTTGCACCACTTTAAAGGAGAGGAGACTTTGGTCTATTTAGAGCACTAAGTTTATTTTCCTTGTTAGTAAAATCTATTACCTCTAAAGATAGATGTCTTCAAACATGCATTTGGCCAGCAGTCATAGAAAACCTGTCCACTCACTGTCCATATTATGTTTGTCTGGAAGAAAACTGTTGCTTGAAAGTCAAGATTCTAGGTTCAGCAAGAAAATCTTTGGGGATGGAATAAGCGTGAGAGCTTGCTGTGTAGCTGCCTATTTTAACTACATTTTGAGTGTAGTATTAGTATGTATTTTAATTTTGCTTCCCTCCTCCACGCACACAGTACCTTGCTTTCTAATACAAGTATCAATCCTTTTTAAATTGGATAAGATTTGCATAAAATAAACTTGCAATGTTGAACTTTGACATCTGAACCACATCAGCAGTTACCTCACTCCCACTGAATTATTGCATCACAGGAGCCTGAAGACTTGGCCTCTTTGAGCTCTTTCAATCCTCCTAGACCAGAGATTCTCAAACTCTGGTCTGTGGACCACCACTGGTCTGCGAGCTCCATTCAGGTGGTCCGCAGAAAGGTTGCAGAACAATCGAGAAAATCTGTACTTATAAGGTAAGACTACTGATGTTAAAATATGAGTTGTGTGCTTTGATTTGTAGAACAAAAAAAAGTTTATTAAGTGGTCCGGTGAGAGAGACAGCAATTTTCAAGCTGGGGAAAAAAAAAAAGTTTGAGAACCACTGTCCTAGACTGTATTGCAATGGATAACTATTACTGATAATATGCAACACTAAGTGAAGCCCAAAAGCAGCAAAATACTTCACTGGGACCTAGGCTTGAGATCAACTCAATGAGACAGAAGCATGTGCTTTAAGTTGATACAAGGTAGAGTGCTTTGCTGGATCATGGCTTATACTCTCCAAGTCCTAACGCAGGTTACAGTAAACAACTGAAGTCATGGCTGGAGCTTCTGGAAGTGAACCTGGTCAAGGGAGCCAAAGCAACCTCTCTTTATAGCTATTAAAAATGGATGATGATAGATTCTTTATCATAGCTCAGAAGTGGAGAAGCTTCCAGAGGGAAGAGACCCATTATAATCAGTACACACTTTTCTATTTTTTAGTAAGTCAAGCTATGGTCTTTTTTTCTTGCTTCGTTTTCCCTTGCATACTTACTATGCCTCAATTACTCTTTTAACAGAAGCTGAGTGGAATGAAATCTATTAATATTGTGGGGTTTTTATGACTGCCAGCAGTCCTCCAGACATCACTACTGATTGTTAATTAAAGACTTTTCCCCAGTTGCAACTTTTAATTGCCAAATATTACCTGTATGCTTTGAAAGTTGAAGAGGTATTCTGTTTTTGCAAGAAAAAAAAAGTAGGTGGAGATTAACCCTATTGACAAGTCATTCTTTCAGGTTCCCATCACCTTCAAAGTCATAGGGCTCCATCATAATAGGCTGCCTGTGACCTCACTTCGTCACTGATCTTTGACCAAATAAAGAAGGTCTATTTTGGCCTTTCTTGTCCATTTAGTAATGTTGTCTATTAGTGTTTTCCTTGGTCAACCTTTTTCTCCTTCTGTTTACTTTTTCCTTGGAAGGGTGACAAAATAAGGATGTCTCATTATGTTTAGTTTCTCAGAACTGCCAACGAGGGTCATATATTTTCCAACAGCATCAGTAATCTTGTCTCTGATTTGATTTGTCCTGTAAACTGAATACAGTATCTTTCAGTTGTCTGTAGCACTTCATTTCAATTACTTGTGTCCTCCTTTCTACATCTACATTCAAGATATAGTTTTCATATGCAGAGAGAGCCTTTGACATTTCCATTAATCTAAGAAGATGGGTCTTTGTTTTGATACTACTACCCTCAATGATCTTAGAAAAGGAAAGTCTTACATTCCATCATTGAATGGATTTCAATACGAGTGACAAAGTTGACTAAAAAGGAAGAAGGATGACTTAGTGTATGTATGGTGTAGGCTACACTTAATTAGGCTGGAGGATAGCCTCTCAAACTAATCATTCAGCTCTGGAAACTTAGGGATAAGAGTAATCATATTCCTGTGAGTGAACTGTGTGTGGTCAGCATGATTTCCCCTACATCTTTGAGCAGCAAAGTTAGCTGTCTGATACTCGGAACCTAAGGAAAATGTGTAGTAAACCAGTTTCCTGAAAGTATAAAGAGAAGATTATAATAGAATCAAGAAAATTCTGTAAATGTTTTAGCTTAGTATATATTAAAATGCATAGTGGGAAAACTATTGACCAAACATATATTTATTAGCGGTGTGCTAAGTGGGCCCTATTCAATTTGGATACAGCCCGAATCAGGGACAGTGATTTGAATTGTTGATTTGGATCACTGTCCCTGATTTGATTTGGCCGAATCCGAATCTGAAGATTTGATGCTGATTCAGAGAATCAGTGATTCAGACATAGACACAGCTTTTAAAAGTTTTTTCTACATATCTTGAGGTAGCAGGTATAGCTCATGATGATGGGGCTCATGGAGCATCCCACAGGAGCATGGTGGGGTGGGGGGCTTCCATGTCCTCAGCAGTGAACCTGGAAGTGGACCAGAAGTACTTCCAGTCCACTTGCTGGTCTGCCAGGGTGAGCGTTGGCTTCCCCCCGAGGCTCCCCAGGTTTGGCGATCAGCTGCAGGGGGATCCCCAGTGTCCCCCCTCCCAGACCCAGGAGGCACCAGTTGCCAAGCCAGGAGGTGTGGGGGGA